AGGCGATGCAAAAATGAAAATCTTTTTTTTATGTTTTTTTTCTCAGGATAGTGAACTGCCTTGCGCAGCAAGGCAGTTCATTAACATTAGCATTTCATGGTTGTCTCAAAGATTGAAATCCTTCCCCAGCTTTCTGTCTCACACACACAGCAGTTGGCTGAGGGCCAATCGCTATAGCAACAGAATCCAGAGAAAGGCTGCTGGTTTGTAGTCCAAACCAGCAGCCATAACTGCCATAACTGTAGTTCTATCTATGGCCAAGACTCAGTTAAAACAGAGGCCTGAGCAGCATGTCAGAACTACAACATGGCGGAACACTCAATTATTACAGAGGAGGGCTGAGCTGGCAGTTAGAACTACTTCCTGTTTTGGGCTTTATACAGGTGGATTAACCAAACCACTGTTACACATTGGATTAGTGTGGTTATGAAAATTAAGTTTACTGAAAGTTTCAAAATAAAACTCTGCAATGTCCACTCACGACGAATATTAAGCTTTTTTATGTTTTTTTGTCTCAGGATAGTGAACTGCCTTGCGCAGCAAGGCAGTTCATTAACATTAGCATTAATGTTAATTGAAATCCTTCCCCAGCTTTCTGTCTCACACACACAGCAGTTGGCTGAGGGCCAATCGCTATAGCAACAGAATCCAGAGAAAGGCAAATCTGCTGGTTTGGACTACAAACCAGCAGCCATAACTGCCATAACTGTAGTTCTATCTATGGCCAAGACTCAGTTAAAACAGAGGCCTGAGCAGCATGTCAGAACTACAACATGGCGGAAATGTCTGTTACTATAGAGGAGGAGTTGGCTGGTATTCTGAACTACTTGTGCTTTGAGCATCATATAACTGATTTAACCCAATCACTATTACACATGGAATTAGTGTGACCATTTCAAATGAAGCGCATTGAAAATTTTCAAAATAAAAGCCTTGACAATTTTTACATTATGTAATTGCTCTTTTTTGTGTTAGATAACTGGTTTAACCAAACCACTGTTACACATGGGATTAGTGTTGCCATTTCAAATGAAGCTTACTGAAAGTTTCAAAATAAAAGCCTGCATACTCCCCTCATGTCAGTGCACCGCCGCAGGCGGTGCAATAATATTAAGCTTTTTTTATGTTTTTTTTCTCAGGATAGTGAACTGCCTTGCGCAGCAAGGCAGTTCATTAACATCAGCACAAACATTAGCATTTCACTGCCACCCACTAGTGCACTTCCTTGCACGCATTAGCATTTTACCTAAAATAACCTATTAGTTAATTTTCTTACTTATTTGCCAAGTTTAGTATACTGAATGGAGTAAGTCAATAACAGACAACATGCTAGTGATGCCCCACATGCTACTGATAGTCTTCATGCTAACATTAGCATTTTGGCATATTTTAGTTTATGCATTAATTTTAACACACTGAATGGTACAAGTACAGCTTAGTCCACATGCTTCTGACTCTCCACAGGTTATTGACTACATTGAAGCTTTCTTTAGCATTAAGGCTAATTTTTAGCATCGGAACGCTGGGTCCAAACCGACGGGCACACTTTGGCAGGCCCCTCAAAATTTCTGCAGGAATTTTCTAGTTAATAACAGTGTAATATATCACGCTTTTGCACATCTCAGGATGTATTCGCCCCATTTTAGAATCTGGCAACAACATGACTGTTTCCTGCAAGCTTAGAACTATATCTGGAAAATAGGTCGTTGAAGTGTTTTTCATGTGCAAATGGGAGTGGATGTACACAGTGAACAATAGTTGCTTTTTTATTTATCATATGATTAATGGATTTCTTGCTTATTGCAACAAGCTTAGTGCCTGAGGCACCAGGTGACTCAGTGTTGGTGCAAGTGCAAGAGCCTAAAACAAGCTCCTAATATATCCTGCTAAAAAGTCTCTTCTAAGTTAGTTTACTCTTATTTCAAGTGTACTAAGATATTTGCAGTAGAAATTAGACCAAAAATACTTGGTAAGATTTTGTGTTTTTGCAGTGTGTCATACATATTCTAATAGTAAAAAATACAACTTGTGTATTTCTGTCATAGATGCGTATTGGAAAGCCCTGCTTGATTCTATGTGTGTGTGTGCGTGTGTGTGTGTGTGTGTGTGTGTGTGTGTGTGTGTGTGTGTGTGTGAGAGCATTAATGAGGTCAGAAAGGTGCTGTGGGAGAGTGAACCACTGGCTGATATCAGAGTCAAAGACCTGATGAGGGCTGAAGCCAGACGGTGCTGTAAACATGTGCAGACGGTGCTGTAAACATGTGCAGGCTGTGCATCAGGCCTCAGACAGCGTTTTGCTCTCCACCAGGTTCCAGTCTTTTGGCGAGTTGTTCGATGAGGCCATAAAATTGGGACTGACCGCCATCCAGACTCAGAACCCGGGTTTCTACTACCAGCAGGCCGCTTGTTACAGCCAGGACAGGAAGCAGATGGCCCAGCAGTTCTGTCAGGTCAGACATATAACGCTCTGTACACACCTAGCTGGGTGTTTTCAAATACAAATATATCCTCCACATCATTTAAAAAAAATAACATCGTGCACACCAGATTGATTTCTGAAAGTTTTCATCCTCATGAACCCGCACAAATCCATTCCTGAGCGTTGTTATAAACATGCCACACCTATAGGGGGCAGTGTAGCTCATAACTACAACCTGTCAGCCAATCAGAATGCTTCAAAACCATAGACATAAATATGTAGACGCCTCATACAGCGGGTCGGCCGTTGCTGTGATACGTAACAGCGTCCGCCATATTGAATGTGGAATATATGCCAGTAAGCTAATACAGGTAAATGCACCGAACTTCACAAAGTGCCGTTCTACAAAGTATTTTAAATTAATTCCTGTCATTGACACATTTTCTCACACAAAATCCTCTGGTTTTTTTAATTAGCTTCTCCTCATCAGCGCTCTCTCATTAGAAAACAGTGTGAAAA